GCCTCATCATCTACTCCAGATAAAACAAGGGGACACTGAAAGGTTCCTATTTAATCCCCACACCAGGTTTTTCTTTCGCAGAGGTACACACACATTTGGGTATCAGTTAGTGTCACCCTGCACGAGGTGCTCCTTTAGAAGCTAAATCAGCTAAACTAACTTAGCTTTGAAATCTAACCTGAGTCATATGTAAACTGCTACGCTACAGTAGGAGAACTCTCCTTAACAGGGTTGAAATGAGCAAAATCCAGGCATTGAAACTGGATTAAAGACTTCCTCCATGCCTTTCCTGGTCTTAAGGTAAGAAGGAGCTCTCAAGTTCTCTACAGCCACTGTGCCTAAGCTCGCCTTTCTAGCAATGAAGGCTGGCTATACTCCTTATTCAGTCTCAATTAGCTGTACCTGGAATGTAGAGATCTTTGCATCATGCCCTATTTCCTGATCTGAGGCTAAAGCCAAGCCTTCAGTCTCAATATCTACAAATACGGAAGCACCATACTATTTTTTAATATACTGCAAGTAGCCAAAAGAAAGAAAGAAAAAAGTAAAATCACAGTGGTATTGACTTAACAAATCTTCACAAGCCATTAACTTACTATATATAACCAATGTGGTTTCAATGGTTCCTACAAGCCTGTCATGACTATAAAGTCATGCACCTTTGTTTATACAGGAATCTGTATCTCTGACAGCATAGTCCACAGTGGTGCATCACTTGTCATGCCAGAGGCATGAAAGATACATAAAATAAATCTCCATGAAGATCACCACAAGAAAACGATGCTTGTTCATGTACACAGGAACATGTCACTCTGTGGAAGCAGCAATATCTCAATGTGCTATTATGTCAAGATGACTTTTAAGTTTCCATTCAGAATTTAAACCCACTAGTTATCCCCTAGTAGCACTACCACCTCCAGGCTGTGCAGAAAGGTGTTCCCTTTTATCCTTGAAGACAAGTGCTCCCCTTTTACAGTGGAGGCACACACCCTTTCTGAGGCAAAGAGTTTAATGAACTAGTGAGTATAGAAGGTACTTACAGAATTTAATTCACAAGTCCTTGTATATCAATGATACTTAGGATGAGTATGACATAAAGATTTTGCTTTTACTACAAAAGGATATTAAAAGTTTTACCTCTGCCATAGGCTTTATAGCATCCCCAGGGCTTGCACTAAAGCCTCCCTCCACTGTAAGACATTCAAAGCTGCCAGCAGCAAATGTCACACATTTAACAGTGCTCACATTAGTGCTGTATGATTCCACTCAGAAATATTAGAGAAAGGGCCTCTAAATTTCTAGCCTGGCTACCTACGCAGCACAGGAAGAGCAACAGAGCACCACTGACTTCAGCAGAACTGCTGATACTTATAATGAGAGACATTTCTCTAACTAACTGTACATAAATTACCTGTTTAAAATGGATGAGCTCTAATCATGAACTTTATCCCTAACCTATCAGCTAGCTTATATTTAAACACTATACATCTGCTGGTAGGGTACCTGCACGTCAGTTCATGACACTGAGTCCATGTTATCTCTTCTCCCTAAGGCATATTAATGCTTTTTGGTTGGCGTCCAGCAGAAAGGCAGATGGTTTGCTTCGTACCACTACCCCTGTAATGCCATAAATCTGTGATTACTAAAATAATTTCATAGTAACTTGTCTCATCCATGTTGGGTGAATCCAATCTCCTTCACAGAATATCCATACATAGAGAACAAATGTAGTAGAAGGTAGGTCAGAAACATGCTGCCTTTGTCATTTTAGAAGGCTTCACATTATTCCCTGTAAACATCCATGAAATAACATCCTTTATTTTACAAGAATATTTTACCAGCAGAGAACTGCTAAAAGCACATGTCATACATCTAATTAAAGGGATGGCCCTCAATAGAAGTTCCCTGGTTATTCTTAGTGCTGGGTTACCATTTGTTAACAGTGCTCTCTTTCAGCCTCTTGAAGACCTTGTTATCCTCTGCTGAGTGATAAATATTTGGAGAAAAAGCAGAGAATATAAGCGTGTTCTCATTTGTTCTCAAACAGCAGTAGCCATCAATTCATCAACCGCTCATTTGCATCCTCTCAGACAGTATTCAACACAAGTGTCTTAGTAGGAGGAGAAAACTAAACGATTTCATAAAAGAGTAAGTCTAAACAAAGTGCGCATTAACAACCATAAGATGGTGCTGGCTATTTGTAAACTAAAATGACAGAATTGCATGAAAATCTGCATAATTAAAAAGTCTCCTACACTCAAAAGTTTCCATAGACACTCCTCTGCTAAGCTGCTCACCAGAAAGCAGGAAACCCTTAGCGTGTACTAAGCAATACTTGGGTGCCCTGATTATCATTTGTGCCCTGATTATCAGCCCTGGCAGGTGTTACAGGAAGCAGTGTCTGAGCTACTTTTCCTATCACTGATGCTTTCAGGAATAAAGTGTGCTGATGACAGTATTTCCAATGTAAATGAAAGCACAATGAATCCAAGAACTGCACATCTCATATATGTCCCTTGCTTCAAACACATAGATCTGCTCTAAGGACCTACAGGACACCCAAATACTTTGGGCAAAGTCTAACAAACAGCTAACCTTTCCAGGAGTTCTTTTGCATTTGCAGCTGCTTTATTGAAAAGGTCAAAAGTCAAGTCAGGACACTCTAGATCTAATCTCTTTCTGTTCCCAATCTCCTTCAATTCCCACTTTAGATGTTTTCAGAATTACCATAAAAAGTCTGTACCTGGCCTCCCTGTTTCTGGTATTCTAGTGAAGGGAAATGCACTAGAGTCCCAGTCCTTCATACCCACATAAATATTGCTGTTTACATGTGTTTTATCCACACTACTCACATGCTGTTCATTCCCAAAATATCTGAGTGCTTCACAGAAATCATAAAAAAACTTGACAAATTCTTTAGTCACATACTTTTTTCTCTCTTTTTTTTTTTCTTCTGCATCTGGGAACAAGTGCAGGGAGAGCTGTGCAACAACTCTTGCTTGAAAATAAGGGAAGGCAGTGAAAAATTAGGCTGGAGATGATGACGATAATTGTACCATCTTCTTTATTATTTTTTTAATAAAGCATCATGCCTGGTATATTGTACTGAACCACTGGATTTCTCATTAAAATGCTGTTAATCTTGTAATTGTAATGATATTCTTCTCTTACTGACATTCAGAGGCCAGTAAGTGCAAATAGTACAGCAGCTGCTTGGTCCAGGGCTTGATTTACTTAGCTCCACAGAGCTAGCCTGTGAGAGTGGGAGTGAAGCAAAATCATATTCAGGTCTACTTTGAATAAATTGCTCCAGTCATGGAAGATGAAAATGCCAGAGAATTCTTCACTGTAAAATGGAATATATGGGCTTTGCTGGTGTGTGGAAAACAGTGCTGACTGCTGGAAAAGCAGTTCTTTTGATCAGAGTGGCAACAGCTTATATCAGTTCTCACTTTGCAAGGCGTTGATAACTGCAAATGCAAATTTCCAGACAGTCATCAGCTAAATTTAGCAATACCCAAATTGTGGCTATTAAGGAAGGCAGCTTTATGACATTCTAGTTGCTTTGCCACACATTTTTACAGGTTTCTAAATGATCCTTAGAAGACAATGGGGTTCAGCAAACTCAGCTTTGAGATGCAGTAACTTCTTCTAATGACCAACTGCACACATGTATCCCACTATCAAATTTCAGGACAAAAATATGACAGTTCGTTAACCTTAAGGATGTTACATGATACTTTGGTGGCAACACCACAGTAGGGAAAGTCATTTTACTTTTATGGGAAGTAGTTATAGAAGCAAAAAATTAATTTTCACAAGGCCTTTTTCTTCCCTCTTTGGCGGAAGAATTCAAACCTTGACTTCCATCTCTTCCTCCAATCCTTCTGGTCGTCTCAGGAAGGATAATTTAGGTGACAATTCAGAGTTGGAACTCAATCTGAAACTATTAGAAGTGTGCTTGCATCTTATCAAGGTTGTTCTGAAAGGTCTCAGAGGAGCTGGAAACATATGACAGTCTCACTTCATCCTAGGCTTGGCTAAATGATCTCATTATGGAAAACAAACCCTGTTCCAGCCAGCTGTTATCACTTCATCCCCATCCCCCATGCTTATCTCCTTTGAAGTGTAGCAGAATGTAGAGATTTCCAGAAACAAAAGTGAGCTAGCTAAAGAGTGTGAAGAACCACCTTCCTCCTATACATAACCCTAACCACAAGTCTGACAGCTGCTCTAAAGCAAGCCACAGAGTCAGCAAAGAATTACTTGTAATGGAGCAGTCAGGAAGGTGCTGAGAGACCCAAATGCTGTTGCCGAGAAAACCACATTTCAGTTCTTTACATCTGGATCTCACAACTGATCGGGCCACCTCGTGTGGCCAGACACCGCCAACATACTAAGAAGTTCACTGCTATCTTTCAAAGGTCACACTGCATGCAGCATGGCAGAATCAAAAGAGAAAATACAACTGGAGAGCAAAGCTATAGCAAATGGGAAGGAGTAATTACACACTATATTTAGTTCATCTTTTCAAGGTGCTAAGTTTTGGAGCTCAGCTGTAAAAATGCTTATCTCATTTGTGCTTATTTTAAAATAATTGCGTTCCACAAAAATATGAGTCACACTCATACATAGTATGCAAAAAAATAAAAAAAAAATTAAAACACAGAAATGTTTGTTCCAGGAAAACAATTTGTCTAAGCTTAGCAAGATATTAACAACTCAGAAATTAAGAAACTTCAGGTGGAAGTGTGGAAAAGGAATAGCTTTTTGTTAAAAATCTGAATAAACCACAAATGGTGCAATAAAAAATTTTCAGAAGAAACAAAAGCAAAGTCCCAATTTCCCAGATGGCGGGGGGGGGGGGGAGGGGAATGAAGGTAAAATGTCCCGGCAGCTCAAGAGCTGCTCGCAGCCACGTGTGCTCGCAGCAGTGATGGCTTTGCAGCCAGCATATGAAAGAGTCTTTTTTCCCAAAGGCACTCTCGAAAGCAGAATACCTCGCTCTGAGATGGGTTGGTCTCTCTCCCTCAGTCGTCCTCCGCGAGGTGTCCCGTGGGGAAAAACTTCCCCCCCGGAAAAAAAAAAAAAAAAAAGGCGGCCGAAAACGGGCACCCGCCCGGTCGGCCGACAAAAACCAAAACCCCTTCGAACAAAAGACTCCCCAGCCGTGCCCCACCCCCAGCAACCGCGTTTCCAGGGAACCTCCACCCTTCCCCCGCGCTGCGCAACGCGAACGCCTTCGCACCGTCCCCCCACTTACACACCTCCCCCCATCCCGGGAGAAACAGAGGGGGGGGGGGGGAATGGGACCCTAGCAAAAAACTTTTAAACGTCTCTTTTCAAACCTATGACACAATTATTTTTATTTTAACTTTCATTTTCTTTAGGACAGCATATGTCTTTTCTTTAAAATAAGTATCAGTGTGTGTATATTTGTATAAACATATGTATGTCTGTATATATTCACGCAATAATCAGTGTATATGTGTAAAACATATACAATACATATGAGCTGGGGGAGGTTTAGGTTGGCTAACAGGAAAAAGTTTTTCACCCAGAGCATGTTTGGGCACTGGAACAGGCTCCCTGGGGAACTGGTCACAGCACAAAGCCTGGCTGACTTCAAGGACCCTTTGGCCAACATGACCAACATGGTGGGATTGTTGGGGTGTCTGTGCAGGGCTGGGAGCTGGACTCGATGATCCTGATGGGTCCCTCCCAACTAAGCATAGTCTATGATTCTATATGTAAATATCTCAACACAATAAGGATATTATAGTTTATATGCCTAACAGTTCAGTTGAACCTGATGAAAAGCTCATAATCATCAAAACTAGGATTTTTTTTTTTTTCCCTCACTTTGTAGTAAACTAACTAGTAACAACTAGGGTTGTGAGGTTGCCTGGTGGCCAGGACATACCATACGGTAAGATACATTATCTATCAGCTACCATGATCAGTCACTTAAGCTGACTTGACCCATCAGGAGTTTAACTGAGGTAAGTTACATAATACTCAAAATAATGTAATTATGGGAGCACAGTCCTAGGAGATGGTTGGAAGACAAACAAAGGACCAAATTCTCTTTGGGTAATCCAGGTGAAGCCATTGGAAACCTATTAGGACACATCTGTGTACTTGCTCAGTGGCAGACATTCATTCCTCTGGAGGGCACCAGTTTATTCTCCTGATCTTCTCAGGAGTTTACAGAAGGATTTCTGTGAAGCTCAGGGCAGATGATACCCAATTTACCTATTAAACCCCAATCCATAGTCCTTATGCACAGGTACCAGTTTCATTGGTGTAGAAGCAAACCTTACGGGACTACACAGGACCTGCTACAGATGGAACAGTTTCCTCTCTGTCCCTCGATTTTCCTGCAAAGGGCAACTTTAGTAGCTAGGCTGCTAAAAAGAAAAGGTTGTGTATTTCTCTCCAGAAAGTGTCTTTTTATCATTCTGCCTTTTAGGCACAGACTCCACCCTAGAATCTACCACATTGTCCTTTTACAAATGTTCTGCTCAGAGGGTATGTAAAATTGAACAAATAGCAACAGAAGTAAAACAAACAAACATAAATTCAAAATCAAACCAAATGGGGAACCGAGGGGGGGGGAAGTGGAGGTGGGGGACAGGACACTGGGTATTTATCTGTTTATTGCAGTCTGTTTCACTTTTGTTTAAGATGTCAGCTCTTTGGACAGGAAAAAATATTTTTCCTTGGCATGCTTAACAAATAATAACAGCAGATTGACCCCAAGAGGTCTTCAGGACACCCTGTATCTGTACACAAGTTCATACTTCATTCCCCCATAGATCCTACTTGTAGGTTTAAAGATAACATAAGTAAACTGTTGTCTTGCTAATGAAATCCACATGTGAACCCCTGCTATACAGATTACATTTCAATTGGTTATTTTATCACTTTTTGGATTATATCTGCCAAGAAGGTTTCATGCTAGATTAGTATATATTAAGCAGATTAGGGTCTAGGCATGTGTGGTCAGTGCATGTGATACAAGGATGTGGATGGATAAACATGCACATATTTTTACTTTGAATTCAGTTCTTTGCAAGTCACCTTCCTAAATTCTCCTTGCTGTCCATCAAATAAAATTATTACTTGATTAATCTGTATCTAGTCTACAAGGAAAATAGGGGTTGCTGAAAAAAAATCAGGAGCTTACTCTTGGAATAAAAAAAGATGGAATGCGCTAATTGTCAAGAAACTCATCTGGGCAGGGGAGTTTTACAGGTATATCATATAAATTGGGTGACTCGCAAGTAGGAGAAAACCTTGCAGTGAAAAAGTATTCAGAGAATGGAGGTAGAAATAGGAGTGCTGAATCAGTGATAATGCATGAATTTGAAGGGGATAAAAGATAAGCAAGAAAGGTGATTACCAGCTTGGTTTCATGCAGGCCCCAATAGGAGAATGTGACTATTACTAAATCTGAAAATTAAGAGGCTAGAGTAACCAGCAGAGAAGATACTAAGGTTTGGTTAACTATTCTGTCTGAAAAGACAAGACAATTTAAAAAAATCCTAGACATAAAAATTATTCTGCTAAACCAAGTCACAATTCCCTTGTAGCATTCATATATAGCCTAAATCTTGTTTACAGTTGTAATTTCTATTTGATGGAATTATTGTGAAAGAGATTAGCAAATCCTTTCAGTTCAGAGACATTTAAATTTAGCAGCAGGAACAAGAAGTTTGTTGAGTGTGGAATTCACCCCTGCTGCTCCGAAACAATCAGAAACAGGAAAAAGTAATCAAAAGGGAGTTTTAATGAGTTTTAGAGCTATTGTTTACTGGGGAGGGTTGAAAGCCTGAAGCCCAAGCCTGGAGGACCTCTGTGACCCTACACTGCCTCTTGGTGGCAAAATATTTGCTTAAAATTACGTCAAAACAACACAATGTGTGTGTCTGAAGGCCAAGGGGTTGGGTGGTGGGGGTACTGAGAAAAATAGTGGAAATTCCCTGAGTCTATGAACATAGTGAAGGCTTTCCTTGAAAAACAAGGCAGTAAATAGCAGCTGTATTTGAACATTCACGCTAACACAGGCAGTGTCTCCTTCGGCTGTACAAAAGAGGAGGCTCGACCTGCCGGGCAGCTCCAGAAGCAGCTGCAGCCCTTTGCTCCACAGCTGCCAAGTGCGGGCAGACTGAGGGCACAAGGCTGATGGGGGCGAGTGCCCACGGGGAGGGCTTCAGTGCCCACGGGGAGTGGCTGCCAGGATGTGTGCACGGCCCAGGGTCCTCAGTGGCCAGAGGCCCAGGGTAAAGCGATACTGCCAGCCTCTCATGAGGCTGCCAAAGTGAACGCTTCACAGGAAGATGAGGAGGCTCTTCTGGAGAGGGACTAAAAACAGGAAGCTAATTTTTCCAAGGAAAAAATTATACAGAAGTGCTGGGTTTTTGCGGAAAGAGACTTTTGTTGCTTTCCCAGAACTCTCCCCTCGAGGCAAAAAAGCACAATATTTAAGTCAGTGGTCAAAGGGAACAGTTATGTTACTGAGGTTCTCATCAGCAGTTATTTAATCAGTATGTGTCTGAAAGTGGCCTGCTGCACATGCTTGGTCAGGGAAAGATAGTGAGTGTTCCTCTCTGCCTGTTGACTTCTTGGGTGGAAAAGTCGCTGCCAAAATGTTCATGTCTTACACTTAAAGCAAGTCATGCACCAGGGAATGGATATGGACCCCGCCAGCTCACCCACAAGCATACAAGTAGGAGGAAGTCAACAGGAATGAAAATAAGCAAAAAGATGGAATGTTTCTTGTGGAAAATGGGCACATTAAAATGAACAGGAGACCTTCCCCTGGAGAAATAACAATGAGCTCTGTGAACCACTAAGACAACAGTCAATGGTGGAAAGCGTGCAACATGTAGGCCTGAGTTACATAAAACAACAGATGACCTGCTCAGCCACACACTGCATGACACAAATAATTTGTCTACCCATCCGTCAAAGTAATATTCCCAACACAACAGACCAAGCAGGGTACCTGCCAGACCCTTGCGAAAAGCACAGTATGTGTGATGGTCATGAGCTAGCTGGCCTATCTAGGCGTTCATCTCCTGTCTTTTATGAACTGCGCTCATTCCATTAGTGGCCCCATGCACACTTATGCAACATCCCAAGAGATTCCCCTGGCAGCTGGAAGGAAGACATTTAGGAATGTGGACCTAGATAGGAAGCAACTTACAGTACCTTCCAGGCTAACAGTCCCCACACAAATTTAGGTTCTTACAATACCCACCTACAAAGAAAGCTTTGCCTTTGCATACAACACACTGGCCAGCATGATTTCACTAACAACCCTTACATTTTGTCATTAGTGGCTCAAGTAATCATCTGAAGAAGACAGATGACAGTTGTCCTACAGGAAACAGGGAATGATATTTGACAAAGTACTCAATGACATTAAAATTGCTGTTGATTTGTATATATGTTTCACCAGACAAACTGTCTAGACAAATCAAGTATTTTTATCTTACCAACACTTCCTACACTATGAACAGGTCTATTAAGCCCCCAGATTTTATTTCACTTTTACCTGTGTTAAAATTCCAGATAGCCATTTTATCTGCATTTTATCTGCACAAGATCACTCAATTGGTCATGTGGCTTTCCAGGGAAATGTAAAACAATAGCTTTGTCTAGAGTCATGTAATTTTCTATTCACTCATATCACTCCACCAAGAAGCCAAAATATTTTAATTAGATATAATGTGTAAAGTCAAGCTGCAAGTAAGACTTTAAAAGCAGAAAACACCCATAAAGAGACTTTCAGAGTTGCCACTAAAATTAATATTATTCAGTTTTTTGCAAGGCCAATTAAAGATGTTTAGCCCATTAACGTCTACAATGCCTCCAGCTGCCACTACAGCTGTAGACAGCATTTCTGGAGGTCAAGTTCAAATGAGCTGAGGGTGGACTCAACAAAATTAAAGCATTCAGGCCCACTGACTGCATCTGAAAATCTTATACACACTCAATAATATATGCCTGTATATTTATATGCACACACCTGATTTTCTAGAGCATGTGCAGTCATGAGCGGTACTAAGACCCACTAAGGCCTTGCACTGCTATAATTAGCATCTGTAATTATAGTTCTATTTGA